ACTGATCTGAAAAATCACCAAAAACTCTACTTGTGTTTCTTAACATCAGTAGTGATGTCTTTGCCCTTGAATTTTTTTTCTACAGTTCTACCAGATCTTCCACGTGATGCTCCACAGAGTGTGTTTGATGACCTCCCATTTGACAATAAAGAAATGCATATTTCAGAGCTAACACCGCTGGCTGAGATCAAGCGCATGTTCGAAATTCTGGACCAGATGTCCGTCCGTGCTCACGTGTCAGACGATTCTCACGGTCCAGTAGCCTGGTACGAGCCACAACAGGACGAGCTTCTATACGATGATGGAAGTAAGTTTTTTAAACATTTGAAAAGAAGTTTTGATTCTAAGTCAGTTAGAACGTTCAAAGTTTTAAACTTTTTAAACATCAGTGCGCGAAGCACTATATTCAGTGGTGATATTGTGGTACGCAATAAACAGAAATGTAGCCTGCAAACAGGCTCTCTAGCCCAAACCTCCAACGCATTTCCCCCTCGGGCACCTCACTCTCATCCAGGGCCTTCTCGACCCTTCCAGCCGTGATCGGACCCTGCTAGCTGGAGACTGTTCACAGGCTAACAGAAATGTTTATTATTGTTATCATAATGTTCATTCTAAACTTAATGTGAGCGTATGCTTGTTACATTATNGCGAACTTATGAATCTGGCAGGAAATTGTTCTTTGGCGATCAGCCGCTGAGATACATGTGGCTCAGCAAGAACGCGATAAACGATGCACATTCGCTGAAACCCTGAAGCTATCGCCTAATCGCTTTAATTCGCGAGAAACCATAGCAGTCTTTAATATTAAATTGGGCAGCCCCCTCCCCCATGATCAGAAATCAACTGAATGCGATCATAATCATAAGCTTCGTTGAAAAATGGTATTGTCCCTAAAGCTTACTAGCCAGGTAACACATAGCCAAGTAAAACAGACTTTTCTCTTAGCTCGCCAGTTTCTAAAGATATGACATTGGACTTCAGGCATCGTGTGGTGTCTCTGGTTAATTTAAATGACATTGTTATATACTTAGCTGGCCCGGGTTTCGAAAGATGGATAACTCTATCCAACGGATTAAATCACTACCCAGCGGATAGCGTGGTTTGTTTTGTTAACACTCATTCACTGGATAGCGATTTATCCGGTGGATAGCGTTATCCAGCCTTCGAACGACTGGGCCCATTTCTCGAAAGCCCCGGAAACTTTTCGAGCCCGCAAAGCCATTTTTATACGCCTGAAACTCCTTGTATGAGGAGAACCTCTGTTCGTATTAAGAATATGTGAATAAAACAGCTCTGCAACCATAAGGTTAGAGATTTTGCTCTGGATTTCCGGGTGCGAAAACTTTTCGGGACCTTCGAGAAACGGGCCCTTGGGGATTAGTTGAATCTAACGCGCGCTCTTACTGGCTGATTTATGGTCACCTGGTAATGGCTAAATCTGAACGTCGCCCACTCTCCTATTTACCGGAGATGACTTTGATTTGGGGGTAGCTCGTCTTACCTAATTACTTTACATTAAACTCTAGCTATTTTTTATGTAACAAAACACTTAATTAGTCCCTTAGGAAACAGTCAAAACGGCCTTGACGTAGGCATAAACACAAGCGCAAGTACAAGCACAAGGATCAAAATTTTTCTTTTTCTTGTGCTTGCGCTTTTGCTCGCCTTTGCACTGCAACAAGTGAAAACGAAATACCGTTCAGGCATAACACAAGCACAAGGATATTTACAACACGTGGTTAAGTTTGGCCAATGAAAACATTGGATCCAGATTACCTCGCGCCTAGGTTGGGATGATTTTGCTTGTGCTTGTGTTTGCGTCGAATTTCGTTTTAACTTGAGTAATCCCTATTGCTTGCGTTTGTACTTGCGCTTGTGCCCGCGCTCGCTAGTGAAAACCAGGCTTTACGTGATTCAGTTATTCATTTATCACACCAGAGGCGCCAAATCCCAAAGCAGACTGCGAGGCTCGCGATCCTAGGCCTCTGTACGGGTGTTGTTGGAATGGAGACGAAGCAATGGGCTGGAATGGCCAGGGCTGCCTGCGTACGTATCTATTGGTTTCATTCTCTTTGTGTATAGTTAATAGAGGGGAATGGTTATGAAGCCCGGCAAACATCAAAGGAGCAAACAAAGATGCCAAGATTTATGTTGGAAGGTCCACGACCGTGCACAANAGAGGGTACATGTTTACCAAAATGAGGGTCTAAAAGAACCTATAGCTCCAGGTTTTAGGGCCGCAAAGAGAGCTATTCAGAGATTCGGTGCTCATTTGGGCTCCAAACTACAAAGATTGTTCTCAGTACTTCACACCAACTAAGTGAAAGTGTCAGGGCTTCCGGAAACGGGCGTTAATTTTCTCCGTCCGCTCTAAGATTACAGGGTCCACTGTTGATTAAAAAATGAATTTATAAATTTAATCTACGAATCTCGCTATCTACTAGATTCACTCAGTTTGTCTATCACAATTAGAGCTACAACAGCTATAATCTTGAATGCTACACAACAAACAACTTGTGCCCTCAAATTTCGCACTCGAATTTAATTCAGTTAATAAAATTGTCTTAGTAATGGTTTAGAATACATTATCCTCAAATATTTTCCATTTCTTAACAGCTTGCGAGGACCTGTATGTGAGAGCATGCAAGTTGTTTGGCAAATGTGATTCTCCCTTTTATAATGTGAGGAAATTTGTCGATATTCACTGTCCGAAGACATGCGGAAGATGTGGTAAGTGAAACGTCAAAAACGTATCTGCAACTAGTTCATAGCCGCATCAAGATGGATTAACTTTTTACACTCCGGGGCAGTTCTAAATTGAGTGTCATAAAACCAAAACCAAAGTAATCACTCTAGCCAATCATAAAGGACACAGACAATACAATGAACCAATCAAAACTCGAAGCAATTACATGTAGCTGACGCAAAGCGCGGGAAAACGAGGGCGAGCGAGTCATGACTGGTTTTGGTTTTACTTCTGATTGGATGATAAAGTGGCGCGAGTTATTTAAGGCAATCGCGTTCCGTAGCTGATGCAGAACTATTTACTTTTCGT